TCGCCACGGTGGCTCAGCGCGCTTTGACCCGAGGCCGTCTCTCAGATCTCTAAGCCCGTTTTCTGAGCCGCTTGGCAGAGCGCCGCGCGCCCCGCCCCTCTTCCGCCCTCTTGACTGGACTCTGGTGGGCATCGGGTCGCGCCCCCTGGCAAAAGGTGATGTTCTGAGGCCACCATGCTGGGTGACCCGCGATGGGGCCAAGGGTCTTTCGGGGAGACAACGTGTGTTTCGTTTCACGAACTTGATGTCCGTCATTTTTTCCTATACGTGTATGTTGGTATGTAAGTAGATGTGCGTGTGTGTATATATATATATACATACAAGACTGCATTGGCGCTGCGCGCCATGCACCTTGGTCCTTTGAGTTCTGCACGGAAGCGGAATGCGTGCGTGCGTACATGCGCGAATGCATGTATACACGCGCACGTGCATGCACGTTCCGTATAAATGTCGAGGTGTATACAGTATTGTTACATTGTTGTATGTGTGCATACAGCGTACATATGTACATACAAATTTATGTGTATAAGGGTATGAGCATGCATATGCAATTCGTACGGGGCATCCTCGGGCATCTTCGCTGGATGCCACGAGACCCTCAACGACTGGGTCACAATGTGAAATGTCACGGGAGCAAAATCAATGGATGATGGCATTCGGAAACATCGTGGGGGTGGTTTCGGAGCCCTCGTGGGCCGTTTTGGCGCCTTCATGGGCCGTCCTGGGGCCTTCTTGGGCCGTCATGCGGAGTTTGGGCCCGCTGGAGCCCCCTTTGGACCCATCTTGGGCACTTCCGGGGACCTCCCATGGCCCTTTTGGGTCTGTGCTGGGAGCCCTTGGGGGGCCTCTTGGTTCCATTATGGGCTGTCTTGGGGCTCTCGTGGGCGATCGTGGGGCCCAGTTCGGCCGTCTTGAAGCTTTCTAGGGTTTTTTTTGGAGCGTCTTGAGGCGATCTCGGGGGCTTTGAAACCGTCTTGAAAGCTGATGAAATCCGAAAGGCGACTATGCTAAAATTGTAGGTTTTACGTAGGGAATGGGGCAATTTTTGTGGTTTGAAGGCCCCTTGGAAAGCTTTTTGGGGTGCCTTGGGGGTCTTTATGTTGGCATTCGGAAACATCGTGGGGGTGTTTTCGGGGCCCTCGTGGGCCGTTTTGGCGCCTTCATGGGCCGTCCTGGGGCCTTCTTGGGCCGTCATGGGGAGCTTGGGCCCGCTGGAGCCCCCTTTGGACCCATCTTGGGCATCTCTGGGGACCTCCCATGGCCCTTTTGGGTCTGTGCTGGGAGCCCTTGGGGGGCCTCTTGGTTCCATTATGGGCTGTCTTGGGGCTCTCGTGGGCGATCGTGGGGCCCGGCTCGGCCGTCTTGAAGCTTTCTTGGGGGCCCTTTGGGGCGTCTGGAGGGGATCTCGGGGGCTTTGAAACCTTCTTGAAAGCTGATGAAATCCGAAAGGCGAATATGCTAAACTTGTAGGTTTTACAAAGGGAATGGGGCGATTTGTATGGTTTGAAGGCTCCTTGGAAAGCTTTTTGGGGTGCCTTGGGGGTTTTTATGTTGGCATTCGGAAACATCGTGGGGGTGATTTCGGAGCCCTCGGGGGCCGATTTGGCGCCTTCATGGGCCGTCCTGGGGCCTTCTTGGGCCGTCTTGGGGAGCTTGGGCCCGCTGGAGCCCCCTTTGGACCCATCTTGGGCACTTCCGGGGACCTCCCATGGCCCTTTTGGGTCTGTGCTGGGAGCCCTTGGGGGGCCTCTTGGTTCCATTATGGGCTGTCTTGGGGCTCTCGTGGGCGATCGTGGGGCCCGGCTCGGCCGTCTTGAACTTTCTTGGGGGCCCTTTGGGGCGTCTGGAGGCGATCTCGGGGGCTTTGAAACCTTCTTGAAAGCTGATGAAATCCGAAAGGCGAATATGCTAATATTGTAAGTTTTACGAAGGGAATGGGACGGTTTTTGTGGTTTGAAGGTTCCTTGGGAAGCTTTTTGGGGTGCCTTGGAGGTCTTCTGGGCCGTCCTGACGCAATTGGAGTCCCTAGCTCTTGGAGCGCTCTTGTGCTGTCTGGGGCCTCCCTTGAGCCTTTCTGATGACCCCTCGGATCGCTCTGGGTCTGCTGGCAAGGCGTTTGTGGAGACCCGGAAAGCCGGGTGACCTTTTCCAAGGACGTCCAAGGGAGCCCGAGAACCCCAGATCCTGGGGGTCTAGTTTTTTTTGGAGGGGGGGGGATGGGTTTCCCCCACCCCCGGGCTTATAAAATTAGCCTGGCGAAGGACCCAACCATATGCAGCTGCGAGTACCGCACGGATATGAGACGAAGGAGGGGGCACGCAAACTAGGCCCCTCTTCTCATAGGCACCGCGCCACTGGGGCCTTCGGTGGAGCTCCCTATGGGGCCACGAAACGTGTGAAGGGTGTGCCGAAATGGGTGGTGGGGAGGCATGCGGACCCTGCCACTGGGGCCTTCGGTGGAGCTCCCTATGGGGCCACGAAACGTTGAGGGGTGTGCCGAAATGGGTGGTGGGGAGGCATGCGAACGCAGCCACTGGGGCCTTCGGTGGAGCTCCCTATGGGGCCACGAAACGTGTGAGGGGTGTGCCGAAATGGGTGGTGGGGAGCCACTGGGGCCTTCGGTGGAGCTCCCTATGGGGCCACGAAGCGTGTGAGGGGTGTGCCGACATGGGTGGTGGGGAGGCATGCGAACGCAGCCACTGGGGCCTTCGGTGGAGCTCCCTATGGGGCCACGAAACGTGTGAGGGGTGTGCCGAAATGGGTGGTGGGAGGCATGCGAACGCAGCCACTGGGGCCTTCGGTGGAGCTCCCTATGGGGCCACGAAACGTGTGAGGGGTGTGCCGAAATGGGTGGTGGGGAGGCATGCGAACGCAGCCACTGGGGCCTTCGGTGGAGCTCCCTATGGGGCCACGAAACGTGTGAGGGGTGTGCCGAAATGGGTGGTGGGGAGGCATGCGAACGCAGCCACTGGGGCCTTCGGTGGAGCTCCCTATGGGGCCACGAAACGTGTGAGGGGTGTGCCGAAATGGGTGGTGGGGAGGCAACTGGGGCCTTCGGTGGAGCTCCCTATGGGGCCACGAAACGTGTGAGGGTGTGCCGAAATGGGTGGTGGGGAGGCATGCGAACGCAGCCACTGGGGCCTTCGGTGGAGCTCCCTATGGGGCCACGAAACGTGTGAGGGGTGTGCCGAAATGGGTGGTGGGGAGGCATGCGAACTGGGGCCTTCGGTGGAGCTCCCTATGGGGCCACGAAACGTGTGAGGGGTGTGCCGAAATGAGTGGTGGGGAGGCATGCGAACGCAGCCACTGGGGCCTTCGGTGGAGCTCCCTATGGGGCCACGAAACGTGTGAGGGGTGTGCCGAAATGGGTGGTGGGGAGGCATGCGAACGCAGGAGGGAGGAGGGCGAGGAGAAGGAGGAAGAAGGAACGCGGGGACCGTTTCTTCAAAACGAGGACCCAACACCACAGGATGGTTGGGAAATAGAGGAAGAGGAATATACACACATGCATACATACACCTACATTTGTATCCACTATATTCACAAGCCCTGGGGGGTGGGCGGGGGTCCCGTTCGTGGGTATGGTTTGCAAAATGTCAACCGTGGGACGTGATTTACGGTGGACTCTGACTGGAGCGGGGAGGGTGCGGTATGCAAGGGAATCTTCGGGATGATATTGCTTTGCCGCGTGATGTGTGACACCCTGTAGGGCTCCGGTCACACCGTGTCCTGTGGGGTCCATACGCGGCCACGGTGTTGATGGGGACTTCTGTCAGAGTGGAGCGGCCGAACGGTCACTCACCTCCCTGGGTGCGTGGCTGACGCGGGGTTCCGCGGTTGAGATTGTTGTTGCCTTGCTGTTGCTGTTGCTGTTGTTGCTGTTGTTGTTGTGGTGGTGGTGGTGGTGGTGGTGGTGGTAGTGGTTCTTACTGCTGCTGTTGTTGTTGTTGTTGCTGTTGTTTCTGCTGCTGCTGCTGTTGCTGGTGTTGCATTCTCATTCCTAAGAAATAATTTATGCTGATCTCCCCCCTCCGAGAACTGCCCTTCCCAGGGCTCGAACCGTGCTTTTTCATTCGGGAAAGTCTTGGGTCTCAGAAGTGGGTAGTTGGCCCCCGTGTTGTTTGCTGTGGTTAAAGCTTCATTCTAAGAGGTAATTGTTGTGGACCACCCTTCCCCTGTAAACAAGAGCACATTTGTACTTAAAATGCTTCTTCCGGGGCTCGCACCCTATTTTCACAAGGGCAAGCGAGGTGCCACCAAAGTGTGGCGTCGAGACGCGGTTTACAACAACAACGGCTCTCGCCTGATATTTCCCTACAACTTACTCCGGAATCGCGCTCTCGCGCGGGACTTCCTCAGAATGTATGCTCGCTGTTCATGTCCTGACGAATGACTTGGGAATCGCGCTATTACTCGAGACTTCCTCGCGATTCACGCAGGACCCACGCTTCAGCAACCCGCCTGCTCGACCGAGTGCGCCTGCCTTCCCGACCCGCCCGCTATGGGTCTGCCCGCCTGATTTGCCAGTCTGGTTCTACCGCGTGTTTTCTGCGCCTAACCTACCTCCTGCTGATTTCTCTCGTGCTCCATCCTTCTCCCTCCCCCTTCCATGCGTCCTCTCTTCCCCTGTCTTAGGCACTGCACTGAATGCACGTGGCAGGTAAGGAATATTAGACCCGGAAGAGGGTTCAATCGAAGACGAAGAGGGTGGGCATCGAGGGCTCAGGATATACGTCTTGAGTGGCATGCGAGCAGGTAGTAGCGAACCGTCTTACGATGGTTGTTGTTGTTGTTGTTGTTGTTGTTGTTGTTGTTGTTGTTGTTGTTGTCGTCGTCCCCGTCTCGACGCGGCCCGCGACCCACTCGTGACCCGCCCGCGACCCACCCTCGACCCACCCGCGACCCACCCGCGACCCACCCGTGACCCGCCCGCGACGCACCCGCGACCAACCCGGGACCTGCTCACGACCCACCCCGCGCCCGCCCCCCTCACTCTTATCCGCATCTGCGGGGTGCTGCAGATGTCTTGGCTGCTGCGTCGTAGGCAGCCCGGGACATGTGCGAGGAATGACGTTTGTAACCGTGCCTGTGCATTGGTTGCTTTCATTGCCCCTGGCCGACCTGGCCTGGCCCCGTGCGCGCGCGTGCTTGATGATGAAGGCGCTTCACAGGCTGCCCGAGTGTCGCGGGGCCGTGCCTTGGACGACCCATCACGGGCGCTGGCTGTGCCGTCCTGGGAGCAGGCAAGCTCAGGCAAGCTCAGGCAAGCTCAGGCAGGCTCAGGCAAGCCACAACTTGTCCAGTAGCGCTCCAGAATCGGAAAGCGGAGCGGCTGTGGCAGCCGATGCATCCTGGGGCGAGCACGCCTTTTTTTCTCCCCCTCGGACATTCCAAAATCCAGGAGGGGAAACACACACAGAGACAACGATTCGTCGATCCCCAGGAAAACATGGGAACATATGGGAAGTAGGGGAAGTCGAAAACCCAGAAACTATGAGAAAACATGCGGAATACTCGCATTTGTGAGTATGTATTTGTGTGTCCCTGGGCCCCTTCAAGAATGTGATCGCTCGATGTTGTCGGCAGCGGGTCGCAGGAGCTGGCGCCCTCCCTGCCTGGCGCCCTCCCCGCCCGCCGCAGGAGCTCTGCGGGCTGCTCGAGCAGGCCGAGCAGAACCCCCTGCAGGCGATCAGGAAGAAGTACTCGCAGCCGCGGCGGCCGCCTCAGAGCACCCCATTTCTTGCCCCCCCCCCCCCCACCCCTCCCCCAAACCTCCTGGCCCTCCCCTTCCTCTTCCTTCCTCCTCCTTCCTCCTCCTCCCTCCTCTTCCTCCTCCTCCTCCTCCTCCTCCTCCTTCTCCTCCTCCTCCTCCCTCTCATCCTTCTCCTCCTCCTCCTTCTCCTCCTCCTGGTCTTCCCCCTTTCATCCTTCCTCCGTTCCCCCATCGTCATCCTCCCCACTTCCTCACATTGCCTCCTCCTCCTCTACTCCTCCTTCTCCTCACTGGAGGTCTTTGTGGATAGATGGAGGTCTCCAGAACACTCCTCCTCCTCCTCGTCCTCCTCCTCCTTCTCCTCTTTCTTTTTTCTGGAGGTCTCTCAGGGCACCCCTTCCTCTTGCAACCTCCTCCCTTCTTCCCCACTCCCCTCCCCCCCAGGTTCCATTCCGATTCGATGGATTCGGTTCGATATCGTCGTTGGCCACCCCGATCCAAACCGATCCCAGTATTCCGACGATCCAGCGCGGCACGGTGTTTGCGTGGCGCCATTGTGCATCTTGGCGCGGCCGATGCGATTCGATTTCGACTCCGTGCCGATTCATCCCGATCCGATGCGAAGGTCGATTCGACCCGATGTCCCAATTCGATGCAGACTGACCCTGCCCTCCCCCCCCCGTCTTCCCACCCGCCCTCGTCCACTGGCACCAGCCCCCCTCCCACGCGTTGGAATCACGAGACATCGCACCTGCCCCTGAGTGCCGGGTATGTTGTGGATGGGGCGATGTGAGTTGGTCGGTGGAAGGATCAGGACAACTGTTCCTGCCGTCGAGCGCGGTCCTCCTCCTCCTCCTCTGATTGGCTATCAATCACATGAACATAGAGTGGAGTGGCCTTACGGCCATCACGACGACGACGACGACGACGACGACGACGACGACGACGACGAGGACGACGACGACGACGACGACGACGACGACCGCGACGACGACGAACACGACGACGACGACGTCGACGACGACAACAACCGCTTACCTCTTCTCTCCCTAATTACATGATCATAGATTTGATAAGGTCCCAGCGGATTTCTCGGATCAGCGGTGGACCGACCTCCCTGGCGCGAATCGCGCCAGGGGCGGCGCCGGAGCCGCCGCCAGCGAGGTCCAACGCCGATCCAGTAGACCCGCTCGGATATGTTTGCGCGATTCTTGGTGTCTCTACATGAACCTTCCTTTGCTACCCCCTTGCGGCCCCCCTCCCCACTGCTTGGAGGGGCAACAGAAGGGCGTAACAAAAACTTTCGAAGTCTCTGCTTGAAGGCGTTTGCGGCCGACGGTCGTGCGCCCGCGTGCGTTCCTCGTACGGGGGTGTGCAGCGCCGATCCACGAATTCCGCGCGGACCTCCGAAAGTGTCTGATCATGGAGATGTGTTCTCTTCTACCTCCCCCCGTCCTCCCCCCAGAATGTCCCTAGGTTCCCTAGGGTCCTGCAGACCTGCACGGCAGTGTCATAGGCTGGCGGACGCTTGCGAGCTGCTCGGCTCGAACTACGGCATGTTGTCGGCGCAAGCCTGCTGCAGTCCCAAAATCGTGCCCCTCTTCGTCCAGCCTTCTTCCCCGGCGCTCTTCGGCGTTTCGGTCGCGCCTCGGCATTCCGTCCTCGACGTTGCGGTTGCTCATGTGGCCGGCTACGCAGGCAAATGCCCCTCCTCCACGGGAGGGCGCCAACTATACGCCTACACCGATCCTTGCCAGGCCCATCCTGGGCCCAGGATGAGTGGAGAT